TTTGTTGGTGTTCGCATGTGGGAATTATAAGTCTGACACATCACATTATCTTGCAGTATTTCCTGCTTAAATGGATGTGTTACTGGTGTATTTCCTGAGTTGGAGTTGTTTGTCAATTGTTATTTTATATTAGGTGAATAACAACAAACATTTATGTTGTGATAAGAGTAACAACACACGTCATAGAGGCTACTGTGCACAGATATAAGTACAAGTGTGCCTTGAGAATTTGGCTGTCCCTTTGGTGTGCGCTGGGCACAAAAAATTTTGAGAGTTCTCATTATTATTTAATAATAGTCATACATAATTAGTAGCGGATAACTTGTCTTTAGTGCAGAGGGAACAGGCTGAAAAACCCCCACAGGGATAAGTGTGGTTGAGCGTGTGGAGTTCCTCTCTCTCTCTGGCTGATTGTCACAAAAGCCAACAACAGAAGTGGAGTAGGAAACATGACCAGGGAAGCTTGTGTTACGTCTGCCCTACAAACCACTGACAGACACAGAGAGAGTGGAGCTTTTAATGCTTTGTGTGTCACTATTAACCCAAATGTATCAATAACTCTCACAGACCCTCAGTTAAATGTCTTTTTTAAAATCTACTATGTTTACTTCTGAATTGTCCCAACAATGCCACACTTTGCTTTGAAAGGATCTTATAACATAAACAATTAAGCAACATGCAAGACCTACGACCTACGTTAACTACACACTGAACCACAGATGTTTTCAGAGCTCACCTGCAGGACGCTCGACATACACAAATGGTAGATTACGTGATTTGAAGTTCAAGAAGATCTCAAATGTTTTGAGGGAACTGATGCCACGTCTCACTGTCTTCCACCTGCAGAAAAATCCAGATATATCCACCTTATTTTCAAACACGGAAGTAAATAGTGATCAACTTCCGTTTTTTTGTGCGTGACTTCCGGCCAGCCGCTTTCCCTCATGCTTTCCCTTACCGGAGCTAACGGTGCAAGCTAATTTTTTTTTCAATTTTCAGTTGTTTATGTTAGTCAGTTAGTTAGTTAGTTAGTTAGTCTGTGTATTTTGTATAACGTTAGATAACTGTGCCCACGTTTCCATTATAATGGAAATTTATTCCCTCTAAACGCGAATAAATCGCACGTCAATCATAAACTCTGAACCAAAAAAGCACAATCAATCCCGAGTGAGACAAACTGCTTGATCCCCGTCTCCAGTGTACCAGCAGAGAACCTGCAGAACCGAATCAGCCAAAAAACACACCGGGCTACACAGCCTCTCTACCTGAGCAGCTGAAGCTGTGGCTCGCACCCTCGACACACAGACACACAGACGGTGCTTCTTCATGCCAGCCACACGTGTGCACAACTGTGAGAAATAAATATGTGAGGTGTACACTGCTTTTCTATCTTTTTTTTCCCTTTTCTTTTCTTTTTTTCTTTCTGTCAGCGACATACACTCCTAACACAGGACGGGTTGTTTTAATTGACTGAGTTGATCATTAAGCCATAGTGATGCGCGGATCGGCTCTGATAGCACCTGAATCAGCATGTACGCATCAACCATCCAGCCGTTACAACATGATTGAGCTAGCAAAGCAGTTTTGTGTTGCTATGTGTTGTATTTATTCAGTTTTGGGAAATCACGATGTCTAGAAAGCATCAGTGGCTGCAGCTGACAGGAACAGCTAACGTTAACACTAGCAGCAAAGCTAACATCACGATCGTCATCCGTTAAAAGCCTCCCGTTGTCGGATACGACATGAAACTACTCCAATTAGCTCAATCATGTTGTAACCAAGACATCCGCTGGAGAAAATATTTTTTTCACAGGCCACTTTGTGACTTTAGTGAGTTATTACAGACACGGCTAACGGCTAACAGCTAACGGTTAGCCCAGCTAATCTACAATAACCATGTTATTAATTACACACAGAGAAAATACTAATGTTTGTTCAGTCATTGTGTTTATAGACTTTACAAACATCAGATTAGTCTAAACGGTGATATAGTGACGTGAAAAATGTGATATATACATATATATAGCTAAACTCAGCAAGGTAAACAACAAGGCGATTCCCATTTACACAGTGCTAAGAGTGCTGGACCGGAAGTGTCGCACAAAAAAACGGAAGCTGGCTGCGTTCTGTTTTGCCTCCGTGTTTCCGTGAAAAATAAGGTGGATAGACTGAACCTGTGTTTAGGTTAATATTTGTTTCTGCACAGCAGTTCTATTTCTTTCCAAAGCCGTCAGTTTAAGTGAGTGGTTTCTGTTATCATAATGCAAAACCATCTGTTCAAATGTGTCAGCCGAGCAATTCCATTTGAATGAATAGGTGCAATCATGTATTTCCATATTTGTGTATGCAGGCCACCACGGACACAAAGAGTATTGAAGCTGATCGAGGGATCCCATATTAACCAAGATTCTGTTACTACAAAGCCAGTTTCAATCTTTAAATGTTTTCAGAAACATGTTTCAGCTTACTGTTAAACTGTAAGGCAGGATTTATACTTCTGCGTTGAATCGATGCCATAGCCTGACGTGCACCTCCCCAGAAAGGTAACTACACGTCCTGTCTGTCTCTGTAAGCTGAAACCATTTCCCTCAGTGGAAACAAAGCTTTGATTTACATTAATTTCACAGATAATAAACAATAAATTGTGAAGACAATAAAGCCTCCACTAAAATAGCATTTTAAGTCTTGTGTGTGATTTATCCTGGCTTCATATGAGCAGAGGAAATCTCTGCTAGCTGCTAGGCTAATTTATACAACGTACAATGCCATAGGCTTGTGCTAATAACGTTAGCATGTTGTATTTGTTTGGAAAACGTGTTTAGTATAAGACAGTTGTTTTGTCAGTGAACCTTGTGAGTTGTAATGAAGCTAAATTTGTAACGTTACATTTGTTAAATGTTGCTGTTGTCCCTGGCTTCATATGAGTAGAGGAAATGTCTGCTAGCTGCTAGGCTAATTTATACAATGTAAAATGCCATAGGCTTGTGCTAATAACGTTAGCATGTTGTATTTGTGGGGAAAATGTGTCCAGATAAAGACAAGTGTTTGTCTGTGAATGCTGCGAGTTATAGTGAAGCTGATTTGTGTACTTGTGTTTGAAATTGTCTCTATTAAGCCATGTTTAATGTGTGTTTAATGTGTGTTTAATGTGTGTTTTGAATCAACTAAACTTTACAGCACTTCACAGAAACCCCACCGCTGACTTGTGTTTTGCAGGTGTAACTGCAGAGTGACACAGACACACCAGCGCACAAGTATAAATGCTATAAATGTTGATGTGTAGTAATTCATGTCAACATGCAGGAGCTGCTGATGGCCCACTGTGACCAGCTCAAAGAAACTTCCATCTGTCTATGTTTCCTTTCTGTTTCAGGATTGTTGTGGATGAATGATGGATTTACTGTGTGTGATGACATCATGGTCCAGTCCAGTTTTGGGACTTCTGGGGGCACTGTTTTGTGGATGCTCCATTGTTCATGTTGTGTATCTGTCCTTGCTGTTTTTATTCTGTCACATTGTTCCTGCTGTGGCCTGTGACCGAGCCCCTGGGCCGGATTTCCTGACAGGAAAACTTTCTGTAGAGCAGCTCAGAGGGGCAAGGTGATCCTTAAAGTGCCTGACACATGGCTCCAAACACAACGTCCTCGCCTCACTGACCCTCTAGAAACCACAAGATGGTCTCGGCATCACTCATTAATGTTCAGATAACCAATTATCTCAAAAGGCGTTTTATGAATGTTTCTCCAGCTGAAGTCAAGTTACATTTTTTAACATTAAGAACACAATGCTCCCTTTGGCAAGTATCACAGCTTCTAAACACTTCTTGTATCCAGCTCAGAGTCTTTCACTTCTTGTTTGGAGGATTTTTACTTGTTCAGATGTTCCTTTGCAAACTTCTGATGCTGAATGTTGTGGTGAGGACACAGGAAAGGTTTTCTTCTGATGACTCTTCCATGAAGGTCATATTTGTCCAGGTGTGTCTGCACAGTAGAACAGTGCACCACCACTCCAGAGTCTGAGAAATCTTCCTGCAGGTCTTTTGCAGTCAAACAGAGGTTTTGATTTGCCTTTCTAACAATCCTACGAGCAGCTCTCTCTGAAAGTTTTCAGCTCACAGTTCCTGTTAACTGCCATTTCTTAATGACATGACCAACTGAGGAAACAGCTCGCTGAAAACACTTTGCTAACTTCTTCTAGTCTTCATCAGGTCTTTTAGTTTTCAGAGTGCTAGGCAGCTGTTTAGAGGAGCCCATGGCTGCTGATTGTTGGGACAAGGTTTCAGGAGTCAGAGTATTTATAAAGATTTGAAATTTGCATCAGCTGGCCTTTCCTAACGATGACTGTGAACAAGCCAGAGCCCTAACAAGCTTATTAAGGTCTGAGAAAAATTTGTCTGAGAGCTTTAATGTCTTGGGGTGCCCAAACCTTTGACATTCTTTAGTTTTGTTCGAAAACAAAATTAAAACACTGATCCTGCTTAAAATGTTGAAAAGCATGTTTCATCTTTAACTTCGTGCCTTTTGAAGATCAGTTCATCATCTACTTACTGAACTATTCACAGTAAACAAAATTCTGACCACTGGTTGCCAAACCTTTGCACGCCACTGTATTCCTAAACTAAAAACAGTATCACTACGCCCTAAATATACATGGTGGGATCTAATTGCCAAAGAACTTTAAATCATTAATCATATTATGCATTTTTGTAATAAATTATTGTTCACTGGAAAAATAAGTCTCCTGACTGAAGTAGATTACTGGCTCAAAGGAACATGAAAAATAGTCTTTCATGAAAAAAAAAAAAAAACTTTGTCACTAATGTGTGTTCCTTGTAACACGTTACTACCCATCCCTGCAGGGATCATAACATTTCTTGTAAATACAGGTTTTTTTGTTTACTCTCTTATGACTAAAATCTTCCAAAACTGTTTTCAGTTTGTTTCCTTTTCTGATGAAGACGACAATCTTTGCTGTGATAAAACACGTACACACAACAGCTCTTAACTTCAACTTTGTTTTATTAAATCCTCGTGTTTACTTACAAATTACAACCAAGTTTTAAACACAGAAAGTTCACATTCTCCAGTAAATAACATACTGTAAAAATATAATAACAGAAACAAATCTCTTTAAGAAGTGTTCCTTTAACAATAACCCAAATTCCTGACGGTCCGTTCGTGTATTATATACAATGTAATGTACATTAGTCTGACAAACATGAGATGAAACGATGCCTACAAATTGTCCGGCTCGTTGTTGTAAGACAAAAAAGACAAAAAAGACAAAAAAAAAATCAAAACCAACTGAAATGAGCAGTAAACAAAAAAAAGTCACATATTAAAATTATAGATCACTGTCAATCGTTATTGCTTCGGTAACAGCAGTAAAAATCAGTTTTCCATGGCTACTGCTCCACGCTGAGGAGAAACGATTTAGCCCTGTAGTGCTGTGATGAAAAACTACTGTACATCAAAACAACGCATCGTAAAAATAACTAAAACATAAAGCAAATAATACAATTAGTATCAACTGTCTCTAATTTGTTTTAATGAACAGTCTATATACAAATCTACATGTGTGAAAAATGCTGTTTATTGTAAAAAAAAAAAAAGTACAATACAAGGAGCTCATCGTGAGGGCCGGACAGCACTGTAACATTTAAATGCCAGTTCTTTCAACACGCATCACAAACAGCTTGTTGTTAATCTCATCTGTGGTTGTTCCACCTGCTTCGCCTCAAAACGTTTTAGAGCCCTTCAGTTTCTATTTTTTACACCTAATTTCCCCAGAATTGTAAATAAACACAGCACCAGCAATGTTGTCGCGCTGCTTCTGCTTACAACAAGTTTTGTTCCCTGTGGTGACAGTGGAACGAGTGTGTACCTTTATTAACACTTATCTGAAGTCACTGGAGATATTTCTGTCATGTGATTGTAAACCTTAAGGCAGGATGATAAGGCACGACTCATACGCTATAATACAGTCGGTACTTTTGGGAAAGCCCACAAAAAGTCATCCTTTTACGCCGAGGGAAGAAAACAAAGCATTCACTACCATGTCTATCAGCACATCAAATACACTCAAAACTATTCGATCTGGCCATGATTTGCGTCCAAGTGACCGATGGGGACAACTTTTTTTGAATTAAAACAGCGGCCGGGCTGCAGTGTAACCATGTGCATGTTTGCATCGTTAATGTACGTCCACCAATTGTGATTACCGACTGCAGCTACACAGGAGTGTTACAGGAAAAATCGAAACTAAGGAAAAAGTGTTACAATCAAAAGAAAGAATAATACAAAGGGTGAAGAGTTTTGCTTTACAATCACAGCTGCTTTAAATCACTGCGTCTTTACACAAACTACTGTTAAACTTTTAACAATTTAATGCCCATTACCCTGTTACTAGCCTGGTGTGGCTACACATTTTGACAAATAAAGACCTGTCTGAATGAGAGGCCTGGTGTGGCTGCCAAACAGTTCATTTTTACAGAAGTTCTTTGGATGTATAAAACCAGATTGTTGACGACCCACTTGAGTTAATGTTAGTCACCTGCTTAGATCGCACATAGAAATATAAATGTTTCAACTTTTGTCAATAATGAGATGCTACACATCGTTGGCTTGGTTGATTTCATTTTACTAAAACCATGAGCACCAGATGACCGGACAAAACAATCAGTGACTCCTCGCTCCTCTGTAGCTGTCACAAAGTCACAATATGTGTCTGTTTCTTGATTACCTGGTAAGTTATTCATATTTGTTAAGTCTGTAAGGGTCCACCAACCAAAGGAATCAAAAGTGTTTTTCATAAAAATGAATCCAAGTTATGAGTGTTGTTTTAACAGGATAAAGCAGTGTTGTGTCAGTATGCCGGGTGCTGTTATCCTCGGGTGACGTGTATTTCCCATCTTTGCTGAGCAATAATTTTGTGTAAAAGGAATTAAAGGCCTGTCCCAAATATAGGTCTGTTAAGTTCAGTGATTTAGTTTGTATCAAATTATATAAAAACAGTAAAAATCTGACAATCAAAGCTGATCTGGACATTAAAATTTTAAAATTCATTTTTGCTAAGATAAGAGACCCCGGCTGCGTTTACTAGTATTCCACTATTATTCCGAATATAACTCTGAATGTGATACAGGTCATGTAAGAAACATATTCTCTTCAGAAATTCCAAATTAGCCCTTTTTCCAAATAAAGCATGTTCGGATAAAGATGGTGAATATGCCGGTATTTTTCAGGCATTCAGCATATTAAGAAGATGCGTCTCAGCTGAGGTTTGTAACATACACCGTCGTCTGTTGTCATGGATACGTTGTAGAAAAACCAGCTAGCCAACACTTAGCGAGGCTGTTGGGTAGAGATGTGCGCCTGAATGAGAAGCCCACATTTCTGGTGTGAAGTTGAAAAACACCTACTTTTAAACTTCATAAAAGACTTGGGTATCAGCAGGTTTTTGGATACGCACAAACATCGCAACACTGACCTTTTCAAGAAGATATTCAAGGAATGAAAGACGGAGGCTGTGTTCGATCCGTTCAACAAGAAACTTGGAAAAAAATCCTACTTTGAAGCAAAGAAGCAAAATAAACTGGAATATTAGTGGAATATTTATTTTCATTGGTCATGTAAACAGTTTTGTGGGAATCCTGGGCCTCAGTCACAAACAGTGTGAACGCACAAATCTGTGCCCAAAATGTGCGCATGAAGTTTTTAGTAGAAATCTGGGATTCATCAAATTTAGTCCTGCCTCAGACCACGCGTACAAATGATAAAGGCCTGGGGTTTCATTTATAAATATTACATATTCACAAAACGAGGCCTGAAAGAGGCGTACGCCACATCACACACAAAAATTGTGAACTATAAAAACAGACCCATAGTGATGAACATTTTAAAGATGGGAAACTGGCGACACAGACGGTGACGCTGAAGCCTGATTGTGGAAATTAAATATTTTTTGGCGCACGCCATTTTTGGCTGTCCATACGTACATTTTTAGTATGGATCCTACACACTGTTTTATAAATGAGACCACAGGTTGAATGTAAACACACACCATTTAACTAAATGCATAACATATTAAAACTGTAATTGACTGACAAGGCTTTAACAGAAAATATTTAAAACTGTTAATTTCCAAACACATTGTCCAAATGTCTTAAATAACCATGAAACTGACACCCTTTCATCCTCATCAATTAACAATCAAAAACTTAACCTATGAAAATGGAGTGTCCCAGTTTTTATTTCGTAGAAATTGTACATATGTTCATTTGTAGCCAGCTAATTATTTAGTCGCCTATTAGCAGGCATGCAGGGTATAAGATTCTGATGTACCTCTGAGCAGGTGTTACAATGGTATATCTAATTTACTTGGAGGATATTTCAGTCAGAGAGAGCCAATCAGAGATCGACATGTTTGAACATGTTTTGAAAAGAGTGACTGATGGCTGATCGGCTGTTTCTGACTGTCATTACATTCACAGACGCTCACTGACGGCCCTTCACTGGTGTGTCATTGCCTTTAGATGTGCGTAGAGATAACTTCCTCCACGTTAACCTTCTAGACAAGCGTATATCCTTATATAGAGAAATGGGGGCGTGGCAGTGGCTTCAGCGCACAGGTCAGCTGCCATCTTTTTTAAAACTTTTGTCTTTTAGAAAGAACCTTATTTCATAAACACAGTGCCTCAGGTGGTTGAAAATGGGCTGATGGGTGATTTTCACAGAACATTTTCAATATTTGATTTTTTCATGTGTGTAAACTACGACCCCACAAAGAGTCACATCCCCTCTGCAGCTGTAAAGGCTCCTCACAAGATAAAAGAGGCAATATGGTTTCAAGAATCTCAGAGAAGGAGCCTGTGAGCCAACATGGCTGTAACGGCTCCATGTCCACCAGGAATCACTGTACAGAGGAAGAAGACGAAGGACCGGCCACTTTATAAAAACGACCAGAGTCCATGGAGACTTGTCTTCACGGGCTGTAAGTAGGAATGTCAGTTTTGGTTAATTTTGCTTTCTATAGCCTGACACCCATTAACCTGCAAATAACCTGTAATTACCAAGAAAAAAAAACACTAACTGACATGAAATACAAGAGGCTCTTCATTTTACTCCGGTGCTCCATTGACTCAGTGAGCTTTAGCATCACATTTCAAATCGCTATCCATTTAGAGGTGGTAAAATTTTAATGTTTTATGATGTAACTGTTTTGCCTTTTATTACATTTTCTGTTGGCTTTGCTGACAGAAAGGCCACCGGCTGTGGTAACATGCTAAACCATAGTGCCCAGTGCCCACCCTTCACTGGTTAGCTCACATTATTTTGGCTGCTCTGCACTGCAAACCAGCAGGGCTGCATGGATGCTAGCTAGTGGGGATAACCTCTGGTAAAGCCGTCCTGATGGTGGGAAGATGTTGCTGCGGAAATATTGTGCCCACTCTCTGGTCTCCTCTTTGGTCACACCAGTAAGTAAGTGGCTTCATTTTGAGCCCCAAAACTTCTTCGACCTGGGGGGAGACCGGAGAGTGAGCGCAATGTCTCCACAGCAGTGCTGCTGGATTGGGACAGCATACACAAGGTAATCGCCAAATGGCTGGTACTGCTAGCTAGCTCCCAACCAAACCCAATTGGTTCACAGTGCAGAGCAGCCAAGGCTAACTATCTGGAGACAGTCTGCACGATGTTTCTGCATATGAACACAACTGGCAGCCTCACTATCTCCCATTAGATCTGGTTGGTGCGCAGTGCAGCAAACTGAAGAGTAGCAAAATTAACCTACAGACCATCATATAGCGTCGCTTTTCATGTCTACAGATTAAGAATGAGGTATCCTCCTGCATCTGCTGCTGACGTTCAGGCGTTGGTTGCGGCGTCCTGGACTGCCAACAAAAGCAAATGGTTAGGTTCATGTTTTGGCTCTGCATTCATACGGGAAGAGAACACCAAACTCCTGGGGAGTAAAATTAAAGTCTGGGGTATGTTGGACCCATCCAGCACCCCTGCCACCTGCCCTATAGGGCCTCTCCTGCTCCTTACATTATGTCACCGGCAGCGTTTCAAAGTGATGCCGTCCAGCGGCATCATACCACTGCAACAGGTGCCGTCCGGCCGACCGGCAGCATATCATGACACCGCAAAAGGTGGCTTTTGGCGTCGGTGTCTGTCGCTGAAATCACTGACAAAGCAGTGTTATTTGATGACTTCAGAATGAGAACGAGTTGGACATGAATAGCCGGTCACAAATATTGTTGTGGTTAACGAATTAACAGTTAACCGTTGACATCCCTAGCTGTGAGTATGTAATAGGAGACACAGGAGGAATGAAGGTTTTGAAAGAGAGTTAAATAATGACATCAGTCTGAACTCAGTTTAGTTGGTGGTCTTGAGCTCAAAGCGGCTGTACACCTGCTTGGATTTCATCTTGTTGTATTGGTTCACCAGGTCCAGCTTGCTGTGGCCCAGCGTCATTCGTTTCTGGTCCTGCCGACTCATCAACACGCCCGGCGAGGGTGGGGGCGGTGGGCTCTGCTGACTCTCCGGCTCACTTTGAGAGAGGTCCGGTCCCCCCCAGGCCGAGGTGCCGTGAGGGGAGGGCGACCTCCGGAAGTTGTAGGTCTCTTTGTTGGAGGGGGGCAGGAAGAGGTCTGAGAGTTTGTTGAGGAACTGGTTGGAAGAAGTCCTCTGCTTGGGGGTGAGTTTGCTGTCATTGATCGGGGTGGGTGTCTGGGTCTTGGGGTTAAGGTTTGAGTTCGGGGTGCCGGGGACGAGCCCGGCGCCGTGGAACATGCCTGGTTTGTGGTCGTACAGCCCCAAAGCCTGGAACTTGGAGGAGGTGCCGCCAATATTTGACCGCATGACATCTGTCTGACTGGGCTTGTTCCACTCGATGCCTTTTTGGTGACCGTAAGGCGGCGGTGGTCGGTCCATAGCTGAGGTGTGATTGGTTCCTCCGTTAGCAGACACCCGTGCACCCGGTGTGACGTGAGTCTGAGGAGTCGGGGTTTGTCCTCCGCCTCGGTCTGCACTTCCACCTCTCCTCTCAGGGCTGAGGTGAGGGTTGTTGCTGGGCTCCTTCTTGTCGTGACCCTGAGTGACCTTGTAGACCGTGTTAGCGGTCATCCCGGGAGCAGCCTTCACACTGGACACGCTGTTACTTGATTGGCTGCTGGAGTTTTCAGAGCACACCCTTTCCCTCTGCCTGCTGGAGGAGGGGAGAGATGACATCAGGTCAATATGAAAATTTAATCCACAGATTAAACATAAACTAGTCAAACTGTCAGTATTTTATATCATCATACAAGATCCAACAAAAAACAAAAATCTATATTATTCTACTGAGAACTGCTCAACTCCAAAAACCTACAGCAAATAAAACTATTTTAAATATTGCAGTTACTATTGGGACTGATCCTTCAGCAAGTTTCCAGTTCCATTTCAGTTTGTGTTTTTTTTACTGTATTTATAATATTTTGTACATCTTATACGAAGCTGATTCTGATTCTGATCCAACTCTGGGCAAGAAGGTGAATAAGAGCATTTCACAAAATGTTGAACTTGTCGTTATATTAAACAGGTCTGCAGAGCGCACACACCATGAGCTTACCTTGTTTATATTGTTTACTTCACTCTGTGTTTTATGTGCCAGATTGATGCTGTTAAAAATGTTTATAAAAAATTATTTTCAAATCTTTGTTGACATATTCAATTAAATACAGTCCAAAGACAAGATATTCAGTGTTAAAATTTAAAATCTTTGTTTTTGTAAATATGCACTTTGATGCTGCCACTGGGGACGGCAATTGAATATGGGTCAAAAAGGATCTGTTTGTATTTACGTTTTAAGCCCAGTTCAGACCAAAGATTGGCGACGAGATGAAACCGTTGTAGAACACAGACAAGACAACAGCCAACGAGCCCTCTGTTTCCGTCCTCACGATGTGCCAGTGTCAGATGGTGGTTCGCTGCTGCTGCTGGCTCCATCACTGTAACCAGTATCTCACTATCACTATCCTCATTCAGATTTTAAGAAGCTACAAATTATATTCAGCCACAAAATAAGTCTGAAAAGCTGCAAATCAGATCAGAAGCGCAGAGAGTTGTTGACTAGAGATGATACGCCGTCTCATGGCGGTCACTTCCTGTCAACGTTACAGATCAGAAGCACAGAGAGTTGTTGGCTAGAGATGATACGCCGTCTCATGGTGGTCACTTCCTGTGAACCGGCAGCTTTTTACAACGTTGCAGAACGTCACATTGTGCAGTTGACTGTTTCAGCTCGCCTCGGCTTGGATCTTTGGTCTGAACTGGGCTTTACACAGCATCCCAACTTTTTTTGAATCAGGGTTGTATTAATTTAGTGTTGTAAATTGAGTTGTTTTATTTTAGTTTTTTCTATGTAAAACACCTTGAAATGTTTATTTGAAAGGTATTATATAGACACCCCCTTGTTAACCTGCCATCCCTCTTCATCCCCCCAAGTCTGGACCCGTCTTATAAGTGAAACATGGTGCAGGCCTCTCAGACTGGAGACACGTTGTAGATTAAAATGTATTACTAGTCGTATCCCTTGAAAAAGAGAAAAACAAACAAACAAATGTCTTAGCAGCTAGACTCCAGCTTCGTACCTGTCAGAGAGTAAATCCAGCCCCATGACCGGCCCAGGCACCATGCCCATGCCGGGACCCATCATGGCTTGATATGACGGGTAGTAGGGCATCCCCTCCTCCTCTGGGTTGTAGAAGCATTCGATGATCTGTGAGTCGGCGTACAGACAGCGGAACTCCCGGTCGAAGCTGTCGGTGATGCGACCTGAGAAATGCATCACCATGTTGCTGTGCACCTGAGCCGACAGCCAGGTGAAACTAGAGAGGAGACAGAATATGAGAGTGTGAAACCACCGAGCTGCACAGAGAGATTCAGGTAAAACATACGGTCTGTTGTGTTGCTTCAAAATAAAAAAGAAAGATAAAAAAAAGAGTAAAGTACATATAGAAGTAAATATTCAACATGTGTTTCAAGAAAGTGTGCTTATGCTAAGGGTCGTTCAATTCTCACACTGCCCCCATAAAATGTGTTCATCAGGAACAACTGAATAATAAACAGGACGCAAGATAAGAACAGGAAATGACATCACCTAGTAATTCCAAATGTGACCCGCCTACATGACTCTGCATACTGTTTACTATGTTCAGCATGTGTGTGGCATGTTTTTAAAGTGTGCGGCTGGTCACTGTAAACACGATGCCGATCATGACAACTGGGAATTATGAAACAAAACTGTGACTTAAATATCGAACCTGTCCGTCAGCTGTCTCTGTGTAAATGATCTCCGTCCACCACTGGCTGATAAACCGGCAGATCTGCCTTAACAATTTCCTGGACGATGATGAGTCACTGCAGTGACTCAGCTTATCATCTTATCTGCCAGCAGCATTCGACAGGTGCATGAACACCGGCTGAACAGAGGACACCGGCTGAGAGGTGTATATATGATCACTGAAAACATCTGACTTCAAGTGAAAGCAACATATCACCCAGCAGGCCCGAGGCACGCGGATAAAGACATATGACCAAAACCAAATATTTAGAATTAAGACAAGCGAATCGTCAGCAGACAGGATCTGTAGTGACGATGTCCGGAGCACCAGATTATTGACAGAGATTTTTTATGAGAACATTTTGGACATTTAAGGAAACAGTGTGTAAGATTTATGAGGATTTAGTGGCAGCTGGCTGTTAGGATTACAGGCTGCAACCAGCTTACACTTCTCCTGGTTAGAATTCCTTCAGTGTTCATTGTTCAGGAGGTTTTAACCAGGAGCTGAATTATCCTCAGAGGTCTCCTCCTCTCAAAAACAATCAGACCAGCTGATTTAAACCAGTCAAAACACTGAATAAAACAATTTCATGTTACAAATCAGTGTTTTCCCGAAGCTGACGTGAAAACACAAATGGCCCTATCTAGAGGCAGTGTTTGGTGTGTCCATTCTGGGCTACTGTAGAAACTGGGGGTGGGAATCACCAGACACCCCATAATTCGAATTGATTACAATTCAGAGGGCGATGATTCGATGATAAAACGATTATTGATGCATCATACATGATTTATTTTTCTCACTGTGTGACTGTAATTAAATTAACAGGTCAATTTTATTCATATAGCACATTTCATACGACAAGTGTAAAGTCAACGTGCTTAAGATACATGACAAACAAGTTACCATACATGATAAACATAAAATATCATAATATAAGATGATAAAGTTTTACATATGTAAAAACGATCAGGACATGATAAAACAAATAAAACATGAGGGTACTATTATTATCGTTTTTCTTAAAAAGAGGGAGATAATAAAAATATAACACTAATTCCTAAAACAGATAAAAATAGATAAGATAAGATCTAAGGGATCTCTCTGGTGTGTACAGATGAATTTACCTGCATACCATCTGGCCCTGGTACAGGTCCCTTTTCCATTCAACCTCAGAGCCAAAATGTCTCCATACCTGAGCTTTTAAACCACTCAGATTTTATCCATCTGCAGTTGCACACACTGATCTTTTGTGGGATATTTATGCCGGTGTAGTGTCCAGTGTTTTCATACTGTACGTACTTTTGAATAGTAAAATTATTATAGTTAACTGCATTAATAATTAATTTAAAAGCATTCTGCAGTCTCCTGCCTGTATGGGAATAGCAAAATAAGGGGGAGGCAGTGTGCTCTTTGGCTCTGCCGTGTTGTGTTAATGTCTCCTCTCCGCTGCAACCTCAGCTCTGGGAAAAACCAAGACACTCATCGGACTGGTAGCAGGGTTTTTGAGGTGAGCAGAGAGGTCTTTTCATCACCACAGAGTTGGTTTAATTTGTTTAATGCTGCAGTGTGTGTTGGTCAGCAGGGCTTGTTTGTTAACGTCACTGCTGATCGCTGCTCCGTTAACATCTCTGGGTGACAGCAGAGGAAAGTATTCACAATATATTTCATGCTCGCCTTGCAAATGTAATTATTTATACACTACATTAAAACATGCTGCAACTGCTGCTTTTTGTGAAGATGAATTACAAGTTAACTCCAACGTGTCTGCGCTGTAGACTGTCCCTTTGCTCCACTGCTCTCACTGTTGATCAACATCACATTATTAACAAACATTTAGATAACTGAATAATGACATTTGTGAGTTAATGCTGAATCGTCCATCTCTGCTTTGCGATGCATCTAAGAATCGAATATTTCCCCCACCCCTAGCAGAAACATGGCGGTGCAACATGGTGATCTCCGTAGACGAGGACCTGCTCCCTATCTAGATGTGAACGGCTCATTTTAAGGTAGCGAAACCACAACTATTCTTATTTTTAGGTGATTATACTTATTATCATATTCCATTTCTTCTGAGGGATCCCCCTAAATCCTACACCTGGACCTTTAAAAGCAAATACAATCTCAGCTCTAATTAAAACATACAGCTTACTTTTTTGCTGCAATTTTTGACCTCAACTAATCTGAATCTAATGTCTACAAACATCACTTAAAGAATCAGAAATGACCAAAAACGTATCAGCTTTAGTTGCTAACTTTTCTTTCAGTATGAAGAGAGCTAAGAATTTTGGAGGGATGATGCCGTGACAGTGACAGATAACTACAGTGTTTCATCTCAGGCTTGTTTACAACACGTGCACTAACTTGTCCCTTGCAGGTGTTGTTCTATTTCACTGATCCACTTTCATTTGCAGAGTGTTTTAAACAGCCTCATAAAAACTAAATATGAAAAGGCTTTTAATAATCTCTGCAGAGACCAAACCACATGCAGTGCAAAACAAAATCAGTTAAACAATACATCTGTTTCTGAATTTAAATCATGTTGAAGCCATTTAAGGTGTGCTGCGCTGCGGGAGACGCGAGCTGAGACACCGTGTTCTGCAGCAGTCAAGAGGAACCTGCAGGACGGCTTTCCTCCGTGATAAATCACTCACTGCTCAGATATGTTGCACACGATTCACTTAAAGTTAAATTCCTGGTATGTTGGGAGGAGGAGCTGATCATCGAAAGCCTTCACTGCATAAACCATAAATCATAAGGTCATAAAGGACAGAAGAGAGTCGTCTTACAGGCTGCAATATAAGCTCAAATCTATTTTCACTTTAACACAGATGTCATAAAATGATATGTGGGTCAAGATAAAATTTGCCGGCTTCCTGGAACAGTTAATATCTGCTGCTTGACATCACCAATAATCTGATAAATATTTTCAGCATTAAAAAGCACTTTATAAACATTTATTAAATAAAACATCCTTTAACATTTTATAATAAATAACGTTTTATAAATTACAACAGTGATAGAATGCAAGAAATACACAATTGGGGTATTTATTGATCAAAAGAAAGCACTTGAAACTACAAATCGTGCCATCTTAATGTCTAAATGATACACGTGTGGGGTGAGAGGAGTAGTTCTAAAGTGGTGAAGTTATTTAGATAACAGACAACAATATGTGCAGTTTGCTGGTGGTGCATCTGAGTTTCTGAAGATTGAATGTGGAGTCCCACAAGGCTCTGTTTCGGGGCCTAAACTTTTTGTTTTGTATATCAATGACATATGTGAAACGTCAAATATATTGCAATTTGTGTTGTTTGCGGATGACACTATTTTGTGACAGTGTTAGCAGGAAGTTTCACAAATGAAATGGTCAAACTGAAAAGAAGGTTTCGTGTCAACACGTTATCCTTAAATGTGAATAAAACTTTATGGTTTTTGAAAAAAAGGATGAAATGGTTTCACCGTCTATAGATGGAGTGACACTGAAAGAGTCTCAGGTCAGATTTTTGGGTTTGATAATGGATGACAAACTATCATGGAAATCTCACAGAGAACATGTAAAGACAAAGGAGTCTGAGAATATTTTTGTTTTAAACAAAGCAAGGGTTGTGTTGGATCATAAGGCAAAGAGCATTCTGGACTGATCACTTATTTTGCCATACTTTAATTATTGTGTGGAGGTGTGGAGCAACACACACACACATGAGTAATATGAAGGCACTGGTTACATTACAGAAAAGAGCAGTAACAGTTATTCATAAAATAGATCCAAGAGAGCACAAACCAACACACTGTTTATCAAGTCAGGACTATTAGTTTATTTATGGACACTGTTCATTATGTATAAAGAGTGTCACCAGAACATTTACATGGGCACCCTCAGGAGGAGTTATAGTTACATAAATATGTTACACAATCATACTGCTATTCCAAAACTACATAATAGTGTGTTAAACCATTTATGACGTGTTACTATAGTGCTTGTAAACACTGAGCAAGAGGAGCTGAAGTTAAGCCCAAAGACTACGCCCGCCACGTCTGTTTGTTGGTATTATCTCTATAAAAATATGAAGAATTGTTTCTTTTGCATTAACAGATATCAGTGGGCATTATCTGCTTATTATCAGTGAATCACTTTTATTATTTGCTTGTCAAACACACTAATCAGTCCTGAACATATCACACCGTAACGGCACTCCCCTGGTATCAAAGATCGAACCAACATCTTTATAGGTTTTAATATCAGAGCGATGAGGACGTTTGAAGATAGTGTAGGAGGGAGGCAGAGGTGTGCTCAGGTGATAAGACAACACTGCCTCCACTGAGCCACCTGGCACCTCTCCAGACCTCACCCTTCATTCCACAGCCAGCAGGTTTGATGCCTGACTCGACCCATTCGGTTGCCTAACACCTGAAACCACACTTAGTTTACGAGTGAAATCACTCAGCAGCAGCCATCGGGCCAAATCTGACATAATGTGCCAGGAGAAAATAAACTAATCAGAAAACAACTTGACCGGACAAAATTTGACACAACAAGGAAG